ATATATATATATATAATTTACTTCAGGTATACCCTACCCTTAAATTGGAAAAAAATATTGCATCCAGGTGTACTCATGTCCGGATGGCCACTTATGGGGTGCCATGTCACCCACAAATGAAGATGTATGGCGATATGGTGCCCCATGATTGGTCGTCCAGATGAGTCCGAACACCGTATTTTCTCCTTAAATTGATACGAAACACTGGACTGTAAAATTTTGGGAAGAAAAAAAATACTGACCAACGAATAAATGGACTATAAAAATAATGTTTGGTTATATATAAATACCCCCCAACAATCATGATACTTGGTTGTGACATTATTTAGATTTTCCAAACAATAAAAAAAAAATGCATACATACCACTCAATTTTTATGTATTTACACGTTTAACACAAATTTCAATTTTTACACATATGTCATCTTATCTTACCTATATATGAAAAGATGTATTTCATTTTTTTTAAAGTTAAGACGGCATATTTTTGATGTGATATGAAAGATTTGGGTAGTATAATGCAACAAAAAAAAAAAGTTGTTGGATATGTAAATACACCAGATTTGAGTGGCATATATGTAAATGCCAAAAAAAAAATGATATAACCAAAAATTTGAGCTAATTAAGGATAATGACTTTTTTGTTGGCTTGTATCTGGTAAAGTTTTATGCACTGTTACCTGCATGCATCACATTCTTCCTTTCTCATCAAAAAATATATGAAGGAAAATATACATACATACCACATAATTCTCATGTATTTGCATACCAAACACCTAAATTTAATAAATACATTTATAACATTTTGATGCCATAAATCCATGCATGAAAAGACATGTTCAACTTTTAAAGAGTTGGTAATATTGATATTTTGATGTGACGTTAAAGATTCGAATGCTTCATATATGTAAATATGAAAGTTTGAGTGTTAGATATGTAAGTAGAAAAGAATCGTGTTGGTATTTATGTTAAATGCCCAGATATCAAATACCATGCTTAGTTATGGTAGCTGTGATTGCTGCATTAACATTTTAAAACTGATCCAGACTTCCTCATAATATGTTTTTAGTTCTCAAATGCATGTTTGATGGAGATGATAACATGTAGGGAATAGAAATAATTTTCAATACTTCTAAACTACAAAACCAGCAGAGATGATGATACAACAGATCAAAGGATGATAAAAAAACCTAATACTAAGGTTGAAAATGTAAATTAAGCAATAGATAATGATAAAAATAAATAATAAAATGAACATAATAAAAAATGTCATAGGATGAACAATCTCACTCAAATCAATATCCCTTCATAATGAAGGTGCACATTTTCATATTGAACACCTAATCTTTGACATATACTAAAATAACATCTAATTCTTAGTGATCATGTCATTAGTTTTCGATAACAATTTTACACAGGTCGTTGACTATCTAATGTAACCCTCCATTTTTCACAACTGTGAAAATAGGATGTTGCATTGACAATGTTATGTTATAATGATAGTGATATATAAGCAAATATCAAAATTTTGACATTAGATTATCTAAATACATAAAAATTTCTAATATTATCCATCTTTCTAAACACATCAACTCAACATTATGAAATCAAATAATAGCAGATATTTGAGGTTAACATATAATGTGGTGCAGATTTATTCCATTTTATTCCATTTCTAGTTATTCATGTTAGCATAACGCACCTATCTGTCATATAAGGATCATACTACAAGCTTCAACAATCAAACACATTCCTAAACCACTCAGTTTTCAAACAAGAAAAAAAAAGTTTAATTTACGCTAAAAATGGATATAATCACTCATAAAAAGCTAAAACAAGAATAAATTACAATCCTTCTGCATGGAAATACAGAAAGCCATGAAGAGTGAGGGTAACACTTCAACAAAACATCTGATGAAACAAAAATAATCAAGCAAAATAATATCAAGATTGAACTTTACCAGCAAGCCAGAGTAAATCAATCAGAACATAGATTTTTGGAAGAATTCTTCCACAATTCCAACTCAACTTCAAATTCTATTCACAATCATGACTCAACATGTATTGATTCCATCCTTGCAATCCCTTGTTAGGTTATTGAAGGTCTCCACTCGCACCTTCGCCCTGTAGAGAACCTCTGTATCCACCGCCACCCTCATATAACCGTCGAACTGCACAGGCCGCCCGCCATTGAGAATCATCGTCTCGTTGTACCACTCACTGTTGTTCCCCCACAGCTCCTTATAGTCTTCCAGTAAATGAACCTTGTAGTGAGATCTCAGCTTATCAAAGTAATTGTAAAAAGGCTCATTTGTAGCAATATAGAGATTTCTCCAAGGGGTCACCAACTTGGTGACCTTCTCCACCAAAGATTCCGGCGAAGTGTCGCTATCCAGATTAGGCCACAGCTCCTTGTTCATGGTTTTCTCTCCTCGTACTACATGAAGAGCATCATAATCCCAATCCATCTTTCCGGCGATCTCAGAGACGATGTTCATCAGTCGCTTCGACTTCCAAATGGCATGCCATGGACGCTGGATGTACTTCGCCGCCCGGCCCTCGCAGACCCTGTACCAGTAATTCTCCGGCTCAGGGCCTTCAAATTGTCTCCAAACTATGGTGCTCTTCTCCTTTTTGAGCTGCATTGGGGTCACCTTGTAGGTAGGCACTTTTCTGAAACTAATCCGGCTAGAGCTGCTCTTCTGGTTTTTGCCACCGGATCGATCCCATTTCCTCCAGTCCCTGAGGAAATCCACCTCCTCCACAACTGAAGCTGTCTCCTTCAGATGCTCGAAATCGAAGTAAAACCTGAAATCCTTACCATCCTCGTTCTCTCCTGTAGAAGTATAGCTTCCGGCGAGGCATACGTTGAGGTCCATGACGAAGGTACGGTTAAGGAAATCGGCTTCGCCGAGGCCGCAGAGGAAGCTCCATAGATAATGATTCATACTCTTGCAGTGGTCACCGCCACGGGTGTAGTACAGGTACCTCCCCTTGCGGAACTCTGATTCAGATCCGACGGTGGGGATCGTGTCGTTGATGTCCAGATCAGGGATCTGGATGGTCGGTGGAGATGCGGCGCGACGGGGACGGCGGGCGGCGTTGATGCCGGAGCGGAAATTTCCGGCGCGAATGACCTCGAAGGTGCAATTCTCAGTGGGAGAAAGGTGAAAGCGGCGGTAGTCGCGGTATCGTCGCCATGATTTCTCGAAGCGGGTGCGGAAGCGGCAGGCGGGGGCGC